AAACCAAAAATTAGGAGATTGAGATGAGAGAGAGGGAATTTTTCCCCCTGAGGGTGGTGAGAGCCTGGCCCAGGTTGCCCAGAGAAGCTGCCCCATCCCAACCCAAACAATTCTGTTTCTATGTTCTTCTTGCAAGTAGGACAAGGCAGGAGCCCTGGCACACGTTTTGAGGCTGGATTTAACTCCTCTTAGCCCTGAATAGGCATTTACCAGCACGTCTAAGAGCAAATAAACGTGTGTTGAGAGTTGGGTGAAGGCCCAGTGAGACCCTGGCACCGTGCCACAGATAGATACTCAACTGACCATACTCAACCCCACCCTTTAGATGGCAAAGATCTCTCCCAGCTTTTCCCCAGTACCTGTTATCAAAATAGAACAAGCCTTTGGCCGGGTCCACTCTCAGGAAGGTAGCCACGTCCTCGTAGTTGGGGAGGGTGGCGCTCAACCCAACCAGCCTCACGTCCTCCTGAGTCATCTCGATGTTGCGGATGGCTCTGGCTACCAAAGACTCCAAGACGGGCCCTCGGTCGTCGTGCAGGAGGTGGATCTCATCCTGAAGAGAAGAAACAAAACCAGAGTTATCCCCGTTCCAAATTGCCTCAATTTACCCATTTTTGGTTTAGTCTCTCAGCAAACCTGCTTGGGTGGACTGAGCTCATCCCACAGCTCAAAGTTTCTCCACAACCAACCACCAGAGACATCTCCAACCGCTCACCCACAGCTAGAAAATGTGACCCCAGAGGACACAGTGCCTGGTCGTTGCCTCCCACAGCAGCTCACCAGTATGACCAGTCGCACCAGCTGGGTGTAGGTGCGTTCTCCTCCCTTGCGGGTGATGATGTCCCACTTCTCCGGGGTGCAGACGATGATCTGGGTGGCACTGATCTCCTCCTTGCACAGCTGGTGATCCCCCGTCAGCTCCGCCACGTTGATGCCGTAGGTGGCCAAGCGCTAGGAGGAAAAACCCACTGGAGGGGTTAAACTGGGTAAACTGGATAAAAGCATCTCTTTCCCCGGGGGCTGCATGAGGGCAGAGCAGGCCTGAGACGCTCACGGACAGTTTCATACTCCTCCCATCACAGCACTGGGAGAAATGGGGTGGATTTCATAAAAATTCCATGAGGGCAAGTGTAGGGTCCTGCTCCTGGGGAGGAATAACCCCCCACACCAGTACAGGTTGGGGGTGACCTACTGGAAAGCAGCTCTGCAGAGAGGGACCTGGGAGTCCTGGGGGACAATGACTTGCCCATGGGTCAGAAATGGGACCTTGTGGCCAAGAAGG